CGGCGGAGACTGCGATCCCGACAAGTAACGCGCGGGGGCGCCAGGACGTGAGCGGACGCGGGCGAGGCGGCGCAAGGTGGTTTTGGTCCGCGTGAGTGTGTCCATGGGCGTCTTTGTGTGTCTGCGTTTCTGTACACGTATGTGGGAGCCGGGAGGGTGTCTGGGCAGGATGTACTCCGGACAGCATGGTTAGGGTACCCCATCCCCAGAAACAGGCACCCCCGAGGTGACCCTCTAAGAATAAGGGTTGATGTGTACTGTGTATGTGGATAGGAGGCAGGCAAATGGTGTGGCTCGGAGTGTGCACGATGTAGCCTCTGCGAGGTGGAGACCCCATTGGGGCTCTCTGGGGAGGGCATCTAGACCCCCTCCTTCCAAGGCTCTGGAGAAGGGAGTGAGAACCCGGCTGCTCCTCGCTCCTTGGCCTTGGCCACTTGTGGGTGTGTGGGTGCCACCCCTGCTCAGCCTGCCTCCTCTATGCTGCTGTTAGTGGGTGTGTCTCAGTCCCAGAGCTGAGTGCCCTGCTGGGTGAGCCTGGCAGGTGGGTTTAGAAGGGGGTTGGTGACCTCTGGGGAAGTGCACACAGTTCCTTTCCATTGGTGGGCAGCTCCTTCCTGGGATGTGTCCCTGTGCATGTGTGCATGCATGTGTGTGTGCGAATCCCTTTCTCGGTCTCTCCAGGACTTCTCACACTCTCTCCATCTTCATCTCTTTCTCTCTCTTTCTGGGTGACTCATCTCTGCGGTGGTGCCCTCCCCCGGCTTGTGAGGTCTCCCTTCCCCCACTCAGGAGTGGGAGGGGGTCTGAGGGGATGGGACCCTAGGTCTGAAAACCAAACTGGGCACCCCTTCCCCACAACTCTTCATTGCAGATCCCCCAGTGAACCCCAACCCTCTCCCCATTCCCCTTCCCATAATTACCCACCCCCACCCTCCCGGGGGATAAGTAGGGGGCAGCCTAACTGTGTGTTCTCTGCAAGGCGATTTTCAGGAAGGAGGGGTCTGCAGCGGCTGTTTTCAGTTCATTGTAGAGACCCCTGCCCCACTCCAAATGTGCCCCCTCCCTGCCTGCACCCCCACCATGGCTGACGCAACGGAAGGCTGCAGAGGTGACTCACGGGTGGGGGGAGGGGTGGGGGACCGAGCTGCAGAAGCCCCAGCCCCCTGCCTCTTGGTTCTCAGGGGAACGACTCAGTGCTCGGCTCCCCTCCCCTGGATTTCCAAATCTTCAGTCTGGATCACTACTCTTGGGGACCCCATCTTCTCCTGCTCCCGTCATGGGGAGTGTGGGGGAGACTCAGAAACAAAGAGAGATGAAATCACACAAACAACTCAGAACCCACACCAGACAGCCCCGCCGCAGGTCCCCATTTCAGATCTGCCTCTTGTAGCGTTCCCCCATTCCTATATCTTCCCTGCCAACTCCCTCCTCACCCGAATTCAGGCACCTGTCCCAAGTCCAGCTTCTCCCAAAGCCCCTAGAGGCAGCAGAGAATAAAGGGCATGGTTCATCCTGAGAAAGGTGTGTGTGTGTATGTGTTTACATGCACATCAGCCCAGGTAATGAACTGAAGAGAGGCCAAGCAGCCCAGAACCCACACAAACATGAGGGATGGAGACCCAGGTGGGGAAACCACCAGATTCCGTTGTCTTGGATGCCCCCTGCCCACCCCAGTTTCCACCTGGCTCCCCTCCCCCAGCCCAGGACTGAAGCTCTGAAATTCCCCTGGGTTTCCAAGCTCAAGTGGAGGAACAGATGGGGAGGCTGAGGGACCAGCGGGAAATGGGGAAGTAGGAGAACCCTGTGAAGGTAAGAGGCGAGGACCCAGCTCATGGGGGCTGCAGGTGACTGGCTGGCATTCTGAACTTCTGCTGCACAAACACCCTGGCACAGCGGTGAGTAGGGGGAGGCACAAAGCCCAGGAAGCATGGGGACACTCACACACCTTATGTACCACCGACCCAAACAGCAACCACCAGGTGCTCACAACTGGATGCAGAGACCGGAAGCTGTTTAGGCATTCGAGAGAGCTCAGAGACCCACGCAACCATTTAGCCACACAAATTGGGAGAGAAGACCACATCTATTTAATTTGGAAATGCCACTATGCCCACCCACTCTTGATGTGACTGAATACACAGCTGGCCTTGCCATTTCCTTCCTCCGCCTGCCACGAATCTCATCCATCTCTGCACACACACATACAATCAGCATAGCCACCATTTCTCTTGAGTACCCGTGTACCCCTCCTCTTTCTTGGTCTCTTAACTCCACCAGCCGCTTAGTCGGTCCCCCTCATTCTTCACCCCTCAACCCCAGCCACACGCTCCTTCCCTCTCCCCTTCCTTCTCCCTCCGATGCTTTCCCCTCCCCCTCTCCAGATGTCTGAGCCATCTCTCTGATTCATCCTCCTCTGAAAGGTAATGTGACCCCTCCCCACTGCTCCCTGTAACCAGGGAAGATGGGAAGAGGGAGCGGAGAAGTGGCGGGGTCTGGAGGGGGGAGCGGGGGAACCCTGTGGGGAGCGGCAAGCCACCTGCTTGAGGGTCTCCTGCCCCTTTCTCCTCCGTCATTTCTTTGGAATCCCCATAGTCACCTTGTGTTTCAAGGGTGGCTTTTTTTCCCTCCTTCTACCTGCTCCAGGTTCCTCCTTTCCTTGCCCTGCCCCCACTCTCTCACCACCTCTTTCCCTGCAGAGCTGATGGGCTTTCTTCTGGGAAAGTCAAGCCATTGATGGAAGCGAGAAGCCACTGCTGGCTCTGGGAGAGAAAGCACGTGAGTGTGAGTGTGTGTGTGTATGTTAGAGAGCGGGGGTGAGAGAGAAGGGGTTGACAATGAGGGTCCGTCCTTGGAAGAGGTGAGGAGGGGGTGAGGATTGGCCGGGAAGGAATCTCCAGCCCAGATGCCGGCACCCAGAGGCCCAGGGTGGGTGTCCTGCATGCGCCCATGAGCACCCTGTGTCCGCAGTTCTTGTGTGTCTGCTGTGTGTCATTGTCACTCCCCCCTTCCCTGCCCACGCCCCCGCACTGCTCTCTGCCTGCACCGCAGCCCCCTCCAGCCTCCCTCCCCTTCATTCCTGCAGTGGCTGCTCCCTGCTACCCTCCCCTTTCTCCTACCCCCTCCCCATTTCCGTCCCCCCCCTCCCGCCCACGGCTGGTCTCCCTTCACCGGACTCGGCTGGCTGATGGATTTTCTTTGCGCAATCTGTGCGTCATCGCCCCCCACCCTCCAGAACCTCTAGCTGCCCAAGCCCCCAGCCCCAACCTCTCAGGCAGGAGATGCGGTCGAGGGGGTCTGGTGGTAGAGAGGGGCTATCTCTGACGTTGCATACCCTCCCTCCTTGCGCCACCGTCGTTTCAACCTTCCTCCTCTTGGAGGGTGGAGGGAGCCGGGGTTGACTCAGCCCCCACCTGCGCAACCCCCTCCCCACCTGGTCCGGCCTCGCCCTCCAAACGTCCTTCGAGGGGGTAGCAGAGGCCAGGTAAGAAGCCGGAGGAGCAAGGGGAGAGGTGGGATGCAAGGTGGGTACCGCTGAGACCCCGACATTTGCGCCAGAATCCGCTGGACAGAAAGACACACCTTTTTCTCCAGACACGCACCGGTCGTGAACACACACGCACCGGTCGTGAACAGACATGTCCTCCATCTGCCCCCTTTCTCTGCCGACACGGACCCTTCCGCGAAGGGATTAACCAAACTGCAAGCTCCACGCCTCTGCCCCAGCCCAGGCCCGCACCCCGCCCCGCGGCTTAGCGGCTGGCGTCCGCGGGCGCGCAGATCGTCCTGTCTCAGGTTCACGCCGTCCTTGGCGTGTTCCCCATGGGCGATGCGATCGCGGACTGGGGAGCCGGGCCTCCTCGCCGGTGTCCACATCCTCGCTCCCCGTGCCCGGCACCCCAGTCGGTCGCTGGGGGTGCCCCCTTCCCGTGCCGCTCAGCAACACGGACTCTCGCATCTGACAGCGGCTGTGCTCCTCCACCCTCCATTCATTCTCCCATTCATTCATTCATCCTTTCCTCCTCGTCCCCCCCCTTCATTCATTCATTCATTCATAGCCCCCCGGCCCCGCCCGCCCCGGCGTTTCATTCATTCATTCATTCATTCATTTCCCGGAGCTCTGGCTCGCGCACGCCCCTCCGCCCGAGAGCTCCAGCGCGCAGGCGCAGGCCGGGAGCGGCGCGCACCCTCCAATCGCGGGGCGCACTCCCGGCTCCAGACGCCCGCCCCGCTTCTCCATGAATGAACCTTGACGTCAATGGGGCGGGGCGCTCCCACGTGACCCGGCGCCCTCCTCTTTATAAGGCGGCCGAGTCGCGGGCGCTGTCCAGCGTGCTGAAGCCGGAGCGAGCGAGCTGCCCGGAGCCGCGCCAAGCCCTCGGGACGCCAAAGCCCTCGACCAGCGCTCGGAGCCCCGGCGGACGCGTCCCGATCCTGCCCTGTCCTCACCCCACCCCGACCCTCCCGCATCCTGACACCAGCTGGTAAATACTCGGCCGTCCTCCCCTAGCGCCCTCGCCCCCTCGCCCCCCGTGGGCGTTGCGAGGGTGGCTCCTTCAGATGGGCAATGCGGAGAGCTTAGCGGGGCGCTCCCACCAGTGAGGGTCCCCGGGACTCGGGCGTGCGGGGAAGTCACAGGTTTTTCTGTTGCCGTCTAAGTCGCCCACGCGTCATCCAGGGAGTCCTGTGGGGCGGGAGCGGAGGGTTCCCCTCCTCTCCTCGCTGCTTAGTACGTGGGCGCTGGCAGTGAGATTGCTCAGGGAAGGGGGCGAGGAGGCGCTGAGTGAGCAGGGGTGGCGGGCGCCCTCGCCCCATTTACACGGCTCCAGAGGTCGGCTCCGCATCGTCCTCCCAAACGTCCCTCTTCTGGGTAAGGCTAGGAGAATTCAGGGAAACCGGGGATGTCCTGCTTAGAGGTGGGGAAGGTAAGTGTCACGATCGGAATCCTTACAGAAAAAAAAAAAAAAATTTTTTTTTTGGCTCTCCTCTGTTTTCCAGTTTCTGGCAGCTCCCTGTGGTCATGACACCCATCCAGTTACCGGCGTCTGCCCTCCTCTGCTTCTTCCTACTCCTCCAGGGATTAGGAGCAGCACCCCCGGGGCGCCCTGAGGCGCAGCCCCCTCCCTTCAGCTCTGAGCATAAAGAGCCCGTGGCTGGGGAAGCGGGGACCGAGCCCAAGGATGGCAGCGCTCCCGAGGTCCGAGCAGCTCGCAATTCCGAGCCGCAGGACGAGGGAGAGCTGTTCCAGGGCGTGGATCCCCGGGCGCTGGCCGCGGTGCTGCTGCAGGCTCTGGACCGCCCCGCCTCGCCTCCAGCAGCGGCGGCGCCGGGCGGTTCCCCACAGGGGCCGGCGGACGAAGCCGCGGAAGCCCTACTGACCGAGACTGTGCGCAGCCAGACCCACAGCCTCCCGGCACCAGAGCCCCAGGCGCCAGCGACAGCGTCTCGCCCCCAGACTTCGGAGAGCAGTCCCGAGGCGGGGGACCCCTCCGAGGAGCTAGAGGCGCTAGCGGCTCTGCTCCAAGAACTGCGAGATTTCAGCCCCAGTAACGCCAAGCGCCAGCAAGAGACCGCCGCAGCGGAGACTGAAACCCGCACGCACACGCTGACCCGCGTCAATCTGGAGAGCCCCGGGCCGGAGCGCGTGTGGCGCGCCTCCTGGGGAGAGTTCCAGGCGCGCGTCCCGGAGCGCGCGCCCCTGCCACCCTCTGTCCCTTCGCAGTTCCAGGCGCGTGTGCCCGAAAGCGGGCCTCTCTCCGAAACCCGCCAGTTCGGGGAAGGAGTGTCCTCCCCCAAAACACACCTAGGCGAGGCCTTGGCACCCCTGGCCAAGGCGTACCAAGGATTGGGCGCGCCTTTCCCCAAGGCTCGCCGCCCGGAGAGCTCCCTTCTGAGCGGCTCCGATGCGGGGGAGCGCCTGCTGCAGCAAGGGCTGGCTCAGGTGGAGGCCGGGCGGCGGCAGGCGGAGGCCACGCGGCAGGCAGCAGCGCAGGAGGAGCGGCTGGCCGACTTGGCCTCCGACCTGCTCCTCCAGTATTTGCTGCAGGGCGGGGCCCGGCAGCGCGGACTGGGGAGCCGGGGGCTGCAGGAGACGCAGGAGGAGCGAGAGAGCGAGAGGGAGGAGGCAGAGGCGGAGCAAGAGCGCCGCGGTGGGGAGGAGAGGGTGGGGGAAGAGGACGAGGAGGCGGCCGAGGCGGAGGCGGAGGCGGAGGAGGCAGAGAGGGCGCGGCAGAACGCGCTCCTGTTCGCGGAGGAGGAGGAGGAGGACGGGGAAGCCGGAGCGGAGGACAAGCGCTCCCAGGAGGAAACGCCGGGCCACCGGCGCAAGGATGCCGAGGGGGCGGAGGAGGGCGGGGAGGAGGCGGACGACGACGAAGAAATGGACCCGCAGACCATCGACAGCCTCATCGAGCTGTCCACCAAGCTGCACCTGCCGGCCGACGACGTGGTCAGCATCATCGAGGAGGTAGAGGAGAAGCGGAAGCGGAAGAAGAACGCCCCTCCCGAGCCCATGCCGGCCCCCCGGGCCGCCGCGCCCGCGCGCTCCCCGCAGCCCCCGCCCCCCGCCCCCGCGCGAGAAGAGCTGCCGGACTGGAACGACGTGCTCCCGCCCTGGGATCGGGAGGAGGACGAGGTGTTCCCCCCCGGGCCCTACCACCCCTTCCCCAACTACATCCGGCCGCGGACACTGCAGCCGCCCCGCCGCCGCCACTACCACCACGCGCTGCCGCCCTCGCGCTACTCCGCCGGCCGCGAGGCTCAGGCGCGGCGCGCGCAGGGGGAGGCGGAGGCCGAGGAGCGCCGGCTGCAGGAACAGGAGGAGCTAGAGAACTACATCGAGCACGTGCTGCTCCGGCGCCCGTGACCCGCCCCCGCCCCGCCCCCCTCCGTGTCGCCCGTCCCTTCCCCCCCGGGGCTTGCATGCGCCCCGCCCTGCCCCGTCCCGGCACCTGGCACCTGCCGGTCCGAGGCCCCGACTCTCCCAAGTCACTTGCGGCGGCGTAGAGGGGCATGGATACCCGGGCCAGTGCAGTCGGGCAGGTGACTTTGCGCCGGTTCCTGCCTCCCCTGCCGCGCGGGACCCTGTCCTCATCAAGTTCCTCTCTCGGGACATCTCAGTCCGAAACGGGAAACCAGTTCCAGTTAATTGTGTGACCAAAAAAAAAAAAAAACAAAAAAAGTGTCTGTCTCCTGCCCTTCATGCCTCCCCCAGCCCTTCTCCGGGGTCGCTGTGAACTCACGCCCCCCTCCTTTCTCTGCTGTAAATAACCCCCACGGAGGAAATAGTTTTGCTAAGAAATAAAAGTGACTATTTTATTAGGACTTTGTTCTCCCTTATTCACCCGTCCCCTTGGGCCTGCCTTGGGCCTTTGCAAGGGGCGGTGATGGAAGCAGCTGCCCCAAGGCCGCACCTAAGCAAGGACTCAGCATTCCACTGCGGGCTTGGGGGTGGCGGGCTTTACAGCAGTGATCCTTGCACCTGATAGCTAAAAGCACTGGGTGCCCTCCCCCCACCCAGATCCCTGAGCTGGAGGCCAGGTGCCCCAGCCCCACCCCAATCCTCAGGTATTTATATAGACCTACAGCCAGAGGGCGGCTTTGCAGGTGCACAAGGGCTGGGCTGTGCGGCTCTTAGTTCTAAGCACAAGGAGAGTGCCCAATTCTTTCCCGTAAAAACACAAAACCCATGAATGCAGTCTTCCAGGGAGAAATCTGAGAAATGGGGACCCTGGGGTTGGGGGCGCAGACAGCCTGAGGGGCCCATCTAGGGTACCTTTCCAGGGGAGATCCAGGGCCCCCAGACCGGTGCCCGCAGCCCAGCCTCCCCTCAATAGAACAAGGCCTCGGCAGCCAAAGTGCAGAAATGTTTGTCCTTTTATTTCAGAAGAAAGGCCAGTGCCTCCCTCCGCCTCCCCCAGAACAGTGGAGCGAAGGAGGGGGTGGGGGCTGGTGTCCCAGAAAGCCCGCCCTCCCCCCACCCTTCTTTCCCTCCAAGTGGCAAGGTTAGAAAAAAATTAACTTTGTTCCTCCTCCTCCTCCCCTGGACACTGGACTGGAGGAGGCCCCAGTATGGCCCAGGAGGAAGTGGGGGGGGGGGTGCAAGGAAAAAGCCCTCCCCACCTCAGGCAGAGTGGCTGCCCTGGCTGGTTGGGGTTGGGATGGAGGTAGGTTGTGGGGCACGGGGGAGCCAGGAGCCCTGAAAACCCCTCCCCCAGAACCAGGCATATTTATATATTTACAGTGAGAAGGGACAGGAGGAAATTTGGGTGATGTTGTCCTTGTTAGTTCTTCAAAGGATGGGAATGCAAGCCAGATAGCACCCCATCCTGGTCACATCTTCCTGTCTCTGGAACCTTCGGTAGAACATGGGGGTTTGGGGGAGCAGGAGGCCAGTGGGGCAGAGGGAGGGAATGTGCAAAGGGCCAGAGCCCACAGCTCATTCCAGAAGAGGAAGGGCCGCCGGGGCTGAGGAAGGGGGCGCCGGGGCTGAGGAAGGGGGCCCCAGCAAGAAGGACCCTGGGAGAGGTGTGGAAGAGGCGGCAGCAGCGGTCTGCTCCTCCTTGGCTCCTCAGGGCCCTGTCCGGCAGGGGCTAGGCCAGGCCCATCTCCTCCAGCACACTGCGTGGAGACTCATCCTCCTGACAGTGATGAGGGTGACGCAGACCCGGTGGGCAGCAGCCAGGAGGCAGGACAGAGAGAGGGAGGCAGAGGGAAAGACCGTGGGTGAGAAATCAATGTGAGCCCAGGGCTTCCTGGGGCCACCCCCAGCCCAGACCCCCCAGCCAGACTCGAGTCCATGGCCACCCAAGGACTCTCAAAGCCAGGAGATGCATGAGCAAGGGAGCTTCACCTCAGCACCTCAGGGCTGCAGGAGAGGACGCAAGCTTTTCAGGGGCATGGGGGGCATGCTGGTGGGGGGCAGAGGTGTGCAGACAGCTAGGCCCTACTCCCAGTGTGTGTGTATGTGTGACTGTGTTTGCAGGTGTGTATATGGGTACACAGGTGTGTGTGTGTGTGTGTGTGAACACTCATGCACAAATGCACACCACCAGGAAAAGCCAGGCCAAGTTCAGCTCTGCAGGGACCTGCCCCTGCCCCCCACCACTCCCCCTCCTCAGAGCCAGCTCAGGCCGGCATGCTCATCACTGCAGATTCCGGTGACTCATCCCCCTGCACCAACGCTCAGCAGTGGCACAGCAGCGAGAGGGGGCTGGCAGACACGGGGTGAGGATGGGGGTACTGGCCAGCAGGGAGAACCAACATCCGGGCAGCCTTCGCTGTGGCACTGCACCCCCAACCTCCAACACCCACAGTCTTTGCTACCCAGAAGCGGTGGCACTGGGGATCAAGCATGGGCCCCTTCTCAGACTCTCTAAGAAGCGTGGGGCACACAGCCCAAGGGGTGTGGAAAACTGGCACAGGTGGGCTGATGGTTGACCCTTCAGCCTACCTCGCCCCAGGGATCGGAGGGGAAGCTGGACAGCCCAGCAAGGGGGAGGCCAGACAACACAGGATGGCAGGCAGCCCCCATGGGTTCTGGAGTTCCTCCTCCCTGTCCCTGCCCCTACCTCCTGTAGCAGGTCAGCCTGCTCGATAGCCTTCAGTACACTCTTCTTCGAGGTGTCCTGGACATCTCCGCCCATCAAGAACTCATCCAGGATGAAGTAGGCCTTCTCAAAGTTGAAGATGATGTCCAGCTCACATACCTGGGGGATACAGACAAGGCAGAACTGAAGCGGGACATCACGAGGAAGGCGATGCCATGCCTATGTCCCCGAGATCCTGGCGGGTCATTCTCATGACCTCCTCGTCCAAAAGAACCTGTCGTGATCAAGGTCAGGGTGGCCTCCTTCAAGGATGAACTCACCTGCCTGACATCCCAACCAGCCAGGGATGCGTTTCCACCCCCAGGAATGGTGCATTTCAACACAGGATTTGTTCTCCTGAATACTGACAGGCAAGGGGGCACACACAGCTACTGCTCTGTAAGGGAGTCACGGATGATCCCACTTCGATGGTGCACAGCCAGGTCAGATGGCTCCATGTCCCCACCCTTCATTGACTGCAAGCTTCTTCTCTCCTAGCAGGTGGACTCATGGTTGGGGTCTTGTGTGTCCTTTCAGAACAAGTTGGGATCTTCTGGAATGTTGAGGGTCTGGCTGCTGAGAACAGGCCTGTTTCTCTCTCTCTCTCTCTGTAGCTGCCCTGTCTCCTACAGCTTGGAGTTCTGCCCACAGGCGTTATATCCTCCTGTCCTCCTGTCCGTCTCTTAAGCCTTGACTGTTTTTTCTCTTCCTCCTCTAAGCCTTCTTCTCTCGAGGCTATGAAACATTCCTTGTCCTAATCTACCCCCTCTTCCTCCCACTAAATCCATGACATTGCTCCCACTGGAGGCTGAGCTGGCATCCCTGCCCAGGCACTGGGGATAGGGCACAAACAGATCCCACATCCGCAGAGGGCTGATGGATACCCATTCCACGCTCGGCTCGGCTGTTCACGGCACTAGATGCCTCAGCCCAGAGCAGGGGGTTTACTTACAGGACAGACTAAGGGTACAAGCAAGAGAACGCAAGGGCAGCTGGTCCACGGTGGGGTGGGATACACCTACTGCAGTTCCCCACCTGAGATGGGAGCAGCCCCACTCTCCCTGATAAACTAATTTGGAGTCTCTGGGATGCAGCTGGGCTAGGAGCCTTGCTATCTACCTACTTCTTTTAAAATAAACCTCTACAGTGCAAAGCCAAAGACAAGGTAAGGTCTGTGTCTTTGGGTGAGAAGCGTGAGGCGGCAGAGTTACTGGGCGCCCAGATCCCATACCCCATTCAAATGCTTCCTCCCCCCCACCCCACCCCACCTCTCAGCTTGAGGGCTGATTAAGCCATTGCTAATAGGCTTAGAGTTTTAAAAGGGAGATTAATTGGTTCTTAGTGCTACCAGCTTCACTTCCGCCCAGAGACTTCTCCGCAGGGAGCGGTGGGGGTGGCAGTAACTGCTGGGTAGGGAAATGGGGTGGGGTAGAGGAGTAGAGGGGGAAAAACTTACACTGCCAAAGTATTTGTCCAGGAGCTCCACGTACCGGTGGATCAGCTCCAGCGTGATGAGCTCATTGTCTTGGCCCTCGATGGCACAGCAGAAGTAGAGACTGGCATATCTGGGGAGCGGCATGGGAGGAGACTCAGCGGGTAGCTGGCTCTGGGACACTGGCGCGTGGGCTCCAGCTACCCACCAGCCTGGGGTCTCTGCTCTGATGGAACACGATGGCCCCAGGGCATGCAAAGAATAACTACCTCCCTCACTTCTTGGCAAGCGGCAAAGGCACATGTTCTCTGCTCTCCTTCCCTCTCGCCCTCTGACCTGCTTGGTTTGACGCAGCAAAAACCCGAGCCAACTAACAACCTGCTCCAGCAGGCGCAGGTATGAGTGTATGTGTGGGCGTGTGTGTGTGTGTGTGTCTATGTGCGTACATGTTGGAGAGGACCTTGTGTGTGTGTACCCCATGTGTGTGTACCCATTGCAGAAGAGTGGCCCCTGTGTGTGAGCGTGCATGTGTGTCTGTATGCATGTTGGAGAAGAGTGGACTCTAAGATGTTTAGCTATAGTGGAAAGATGGCGTCTGGAGCAAGATGCCATGTGGAATGCGAACTGCTGGAAAGGCTGCTGCCAGTCATCGGTGTTTAGCTCCTGGCTCTGCCTGACCAAGAAGGCAACCTGTTTCTCAGCCTGGCAGGATCTGGGCAGGTGTGGCGACAGGTGGGACGTCACCTCTTATAGACGACTTTGAGGTCCCGCCATTCCAGGAAGCTGCACATCTTGGGCTTGCGAGCCAGCACCACCTGCATGAGCTCCCGAACCATCTTCTTCCTC